CAAATGTTCAGACCTGTCTGGCTCTTTCGTTTTGCAAGTGTAGGGGTTATAGGCAGCCTGGCCACATTCCTCATTGATTTATATAAATATATTACAGATTGTTAACCTCCTGCCAAATACCAGGGATTTCAGTTCTTGTTTAGCTCAGTTGCTTTATGTGAGACTTATTTGTTATATTAAAATATCTATGTTCTCTTTATTGCCCACCACATTGACTATTATTTATTTGATTTGGGGTAATTCCAGAGGGAGTCATTGTAGACAGAAAAGCATCATAAATATTATGTTCTAAAATTCCTCAGATGAATACAGGCCTTTCCTGCTATTTGAAAGTAGAATGTTCCTGGGAAACCTTTTGTAGGCTGAAATGGTGTAAAGTGAAGAAGCAGTTACCATTAATTTATGTGGAAAATTTTTTGAGTGTTCCCAGACCCAAAAAGTAACCTCTCCTAGGCTTTTCTGATACCTTAGGACACATCTTGCTAACCGGTGCACAAAATAAATCGAGATAAAGTACAGATGCTCACCGAGAGCCTCCAAAGCTAAGGCAGCTTGATGCCCAGAGGCTGAGTTATCATTGTGAGGAAGGGGCTTGGGGGTGCCACCTTCACTGTTTGGGGTCCGTGCTGTCTCTGTAAAGGCTCACTACAAAACAAGTATTGAGGGGCGCCTGGGTGGCTCAGTTGTTAAGCGTCTGCCTTCGGCTCGGGTCATGATCTCAAGGTCCTGGGATCGAGCCCCGCATCGTGCTCCCTGCTCAGCGGGAAGCCTGCTTCTCCCTCTCCCACTCCCCCCTGCTTGTGTTCCCTCTTTCACTGTGTCTCTCTCTGTCAAATAAATAAATAAACTCTTAAAAAAAAAAAAAACAAGTATTGAATGCTGTTTTCACTTTTCTCCTTTTTTCTTCAAAGCACAAATCCTCTTTGAGATTTCTTCAGTTAGTGAGAACAACTGTACTGATGTAGGACTTTTTGTAAAAGGGCAGTGGCGTGAACTTTCGAAGACTGGGGAATACCTGTATTTATAATTGTTGACTCAAAATGCATTTCCTACACATAATATAGTGTAGACTATATAGACTAGCATAACGTTTTTTTTTTTACAGTGATAATGTTCACTAAACAGGTCAGACTGAATTTTGTATTTTAGCGTGGAGCAGCATTTCCCAAAATGTCTTCGGTGGAGTCCTGGCTCTGTAAGATGCTGACCGTCAGCCCTGGAGCCAAAGAAGGGGGGGTACCCTACAGGTCCTCCCAGGACCTCTCCTTCCCTTCATGTCACTTGTGAATTTCTAAGGAGAAAGTAATACGCTGCATTTTCAGCAACCTAAGTGGCTGGAAAGGCAACCCTGCAAGCCGCCGGCTCTGGACACTGATGACCCTGGCCCTGCTGTGGCCCGTCTCTCAAGACCTGAAGAGCGAGGAGGCTGTAAGAGGGTTTGTTCTGAGGGGAGTGATGGCTGCAGGGCACCAGAGGCCGTAGGGTGGGAGGCCCGCGGGAGCGGCAGAGATCTGGGAGCGCCTTCCCAGGGTTCAGGGCTGGGAGAGCGGCAGCCGGGGTCCCAGCCACGGCCAAGTCTGGGGACGGAGCAGCCGCAGCAGTGGGCAGGGTAGCTGGAGTGGAAACCGGCCTGGGAGAGAAGCCGGTGGGCTGTAGGTGGCCTCCCCATCAACAAGCTGGGCCTGGAGGCCGTGGACTCCAACCCCTGCAGGCGCCTGATGGCACTGAACCGAATGGGCATTGGAAGCCACTGCAAGGAGGAAATCTGTACCTTTGCTATAGCAATAGTAGGTGTCGGCAGAGTCGGTAGCGTGCCTGCTGACGTGGCCTTGCTACGGTGCTACTCTTTGACCACGACAAGGAGGAACTGGCGCATAATGAATAGACCTTTCTTCCAACCTATCCTTCCAATCAAGCAGGATTAAGTAAAGTTCAAGCAGAATATGCTTTGAGGAACATTAACCTTGATGCTCTGTGGGAAGTATATAACTACAATATAACCACAGTAGAAGACTTTCAGCATTTCATGGCTGAGAGTAAGTAATGGTGGATGAGAAGAGGGAAAACCCCTTGACCTAGTTCTTAGCTGTGCGGACGGTTTTGTAGCTCGGATGACAATAAACACGGCCTGTAATGAACTTGGGCAAACGTGGCTGGCGTCTGGGGTCAGTGAAAATGCAGTTCCAGGGCATATACAGCTCATAATTCCTGGAGAGTCTGCTTGTTTTGCACGTGCACCACCAAAGTGCTGCAAATACTGATGAGAAGACTCCCAAATGAGACAGTGTATGTGCAGCCAGTCTCCCTTACCGCTATCGGCATGGTTGCTAGGATCTTGGTACAAAATGTGTTAAAGTTTCTGTTAAACTTTGGTACTGTGAGTTTTTACCTTGGATATAATGCAGTGCAGGATCTTTTTCCTGCTGGGTCCATGAAGCCAAATCCTCAGTGTGTTGACAGAAATTGCAGGAAGCAGCAGGAAGACTACAGGGATAGGAGGTTGTTCGAGAAGAAGAAGAAGAGATAATATGTGAAGATAAGGGATGGGGTACTGAGTTGGTATCTGAGGTGTCAGAGGAGGAACTGCAGAATTCTTCAGGTCCAGTTCCTGACTTAACCTGAAGGAATGACCCTGCCATAAACAATTCCCGAAAAGCAAGAAGGTTCTATACCTGAGGTGTAACTGTGGAAGATTCTGGTGAAAGCTTGGAAGACATCATGGCCAAGATGAAGAATATGTAGATAATAGACTGACCTATATTTTACTTCCCAAGTTTAAGCCTGTTCCCTTGCAATTAAAAAAAAAAAAATCATTTAAAAACTGGCAAAGCTTAGGGCAACATTAACCGATAATACTCTTCACAAAATTGTTACACTTTTCGAAAATACTGTGTCATTCATTGGTTTCTCCCTTCAACTAAATCAGTAATTCTCCTAAAACTCATGTTTCATTCTAGTTAAGAAACTTGAAAACTTAGCCACTAAACTATTTTGGCCTTTTGGGAGGGGTGGGAAGAAATGACCAATTTGATGCCATATTTCTTTTCTTTCCAGTAAGCCTTTGTGGTCTATTACCTGAGGCATGGACAATAAAGTAGTATATGGTTCTCAAATATAGGATGAGAGCTAGCAGGCATCTACTCACTGTGTTTAGAATCACTCTCTACAAGAAAACTACTACTATTAACTTGGCTAACAGTGAATTTAAAATAGTTATCCTATAAAATAAAAATACGCTCTCAAATGTTACCTCATGAAATAAACGCTGAAATGAAGTCACTAGAAAAGTTTATAAACTTGTGAATTATATATTCAAAATAAGACAAAGGCAAAAAAAAAAGGAAGCTCTCTTCATGGATAAACAGATGAAGGTGCTTTCAGGAAGTACAAATTATATTTCTGCACTGACCAAGGAAAAGAAATCATTGCACCTGTGGAATATGTATCTGGAGTCACTGTTCTTTATTGAGGAGCAAGGAATAAATTTAGGCTAAGATCATCTAGATTATACCCATCATATGAGCTACCTTTTGATATTTCATTTAAATTTGATTCTCTAGATAATTCAATAGGTGTCCTGTACTGGGGGCATAAAAGAGACCTAAATTACCTGTGCAATGACTGACACGTATTTATTCACTGGAAGAGTGTCATTTACCCTGATCATGAGCACTACATTATAATTGATAAACTGGTTTTCTCTGCAGTTGCACACAAATAATAAAAGCTTAGAGAGCCTTGGTTAAATAAACTCCCAATAGTTTGGGACCAATAAAAAACATGCATGTATAACCATTATCAGAAGGATGTGACTATGCTATGCTAATCTTCTATTTTGATGATTTTTTGCTTTGAAGATACGAATGTCTAAATTGTATCTGTGGGGAAGAAATGTTAGCACAAAATGAAAGCTGCAATCTTCACTTGTAAAATAAAGTTCTAAAATCTGATTTCAGAAAGTCCACCTCCCAAAATAATAGCACCTTAAAAAATAAAAAGAATTATCTCCTTGAACCAGCATGAGCCACTTCTACCTAACACCATTCTTTTTGTAACCTTGAAAAATAAAATAATTATATACATTACAATTTATACAGGAATGTTGTATGCTATGCATGGTCACACATACCTCTTTAAAATTCCGCATTTTAAAAATTGCCAATTAGTGGCGCCTGGGTGGCTCAGTTGGTTAAACGTCTTCCTTTGGCTCAAGTCGTAATCCCAGGGTTCTGGGATCGAATCCCACATCCAGTTCCCTGCTCAGCGGGGAGTCTGCTTGTCCCTTCCCTCGCCCCTCCCCGTGCTCGTGTGTGCGCTCACGCGCTCTCGCTCTCTCATTCTCTCTCAAATAAAATGTTTAAAAAATTGCTGATTAAAATTAGTGCCTTTTCTCCATGGCTTATGATTTAGATCAATTGGCAGTGGCTTCCATGGGCTCACCTTTGCCCATTTTGTGTGTGGAGTCCAGTTGTTTCAGGTACCATCGGTGAGTCTTCATATTTTGAACAGAATGTTATAACTTTGAGGAAAATAACTTGGGTGTGTTAGATGTTATTCTTGAATTGTGTCATACAAACAGTGTTTGAAAGCATGGTTTCAGTAAAATGAAGCAACATAGCATACTGCCACAACGGTTAGGTAACTAACAACGGTTTGGAAGCAGGCGACCTTTTGGTTCAGCAGTGTTTTATGATCATTTTATTCTCCAGTTATGTCCCCGTCAAATTTTTTTTTCTTTTGGAAATTACTAAAATGTCATATATTACAAACTATAAGTGCAGGAAGAACTGGAGTTACTAAAATCAGTGCTGACCTGAGGCAGTGGTTAAAAAAAAATGTATTTTTTTCATGAAGAAATGTATTAATTATGATGGAAAACATTTTAAAAAGTAATATTTAAGAAGCACTACTGTAATGGTGCAGTTCCCATGTTTGTGTTTGAATTTAGTGCATGTCATTTTTGATTCATTGCTGTTTTATTACAAAAATAGAAGTAACCTATACAAAGAAGCTTGGTGATTGTGGAACTCCTTTTTCTTCTTCAAAAGGAAGAAAAAAGGTGAAGCTGGCGAAGTATGTGGGTTTTATATCATGGAAAGAAGATGGTTCAAAGGAGCCCATGAATAAATGGGTTCATTTTACCAAACTGAAGGAGTTGTTTTGATAAACTTCCCAGGTGTCGAATTCATGCATGATACTGATCATCACTGTCATAGTATGGCACTCATTTGATGATTTATCTTTAATAAATTTATTAGGAGCTTTTACTTTATCAGAATAATTTTCCAGAATAAGTTACATTAGTGACATCAGAAGACTTTGGAATTTGAAAAAAAATCAAGTTTAGAAGTAGATGATTAAAACTTAGAAATCAGGGCACCTGGATGGTTTAGTTGGTTAAGCATCTGCCTTCGGCTCAGGTCATGATCCCAGAGTCCCAGGATCAAGCCCCGCATCGGGCTGTCCGATCACCAGGCAGTCTGCTTCTCCCTCTGCCCCTCACCTTGCTCTTATGCTCTCTCTGTCCTCTCTCTCTCTTTCAAATAAATAAATAAGATCTTTAAAAAAATTTTTTTTTAATAAAACTTAGAAATCAGGGGCGCCTGGGTGACTTAGTTGGTTGGGCGTCTAACTCTTGGTTTCAGCTCAGGTCATCATCTCCTGGTCCTGGGATACACCCCAGTCGGGCTCAACTCTGCTTCAGATTCTCTCTCTCTCTCTCTCTCTCCCTCTCTCTCTCCCTCCCCCTCTGCCCCTCTCCCCCTGCTCACAGGTGTGTGTGTGTGTGTGTGTGTGTGTGTGTGTGTGTACACGCATATACCCGTTCTCTCTCAAATAAATAATATCTTTAAAACTTAGAAATCGGAATATTTAGAAGTAAATAAACGTGAGAGGAAATTCGGTTGATCTTAATTGATTTTAGTGGAGTTGTAGAACTCATCCCAACCTGCCCGTAATTAAAAAGTAGCATGGACCTGGCTGTGAAGTGTGTGTGGTTGGTGGCGGTGTCCATCCCACCAGATTTAACTTAATTATAGTGTTCTTTAGTTTATTTTAAAGCTTAGTTTAAATTCACAGAGAAGTACCAGATGTTGTGGGGCCCCATTTAGCCCAGAAATGCAGTGGGGTGGCCTGATGAACCAGCTTGGCATTAAAAATTCAACAGAGGTAATATACAAAGTACATAATTGAGAGTCAACCCTGCATTTTAGTGACGGGTTATATGCACATTTGTAGTTAGTTTCTTTGAAGAGAAAGAAAGATGTTTATTTGGTTTTTAAAAATGAAAGAAAAGACTAAGAATAGCATTTTATTAGCCTTTTCTTAGTGTTTATACTACATTCTGTCAAATTTACTTACAGCTTGTTTACAGGTGGTTTGTTTAATTATTCAAACATGTGGTGAGCATCTCATGTGCTAGATAGCGTCCTGTGTGTGGCTGAAAGTAAAGAATTTGTCCTTGGGCTTGAAAATGCTTTTGACTATTGAAGGCTTCTCTTTTAAAACTTGGATTTTGACTTAGTCGTGGAATTGTATGGAAGACATTAGATTCACCCATCCAAACTTAATTATAAAGTTTGTTAATCTGTCTTTATCAGTTAAGGGTAATGTAGCTTACTAATGCAGTTTCAAATACCCCCTCTCTCCCCCCAAAAATGTTAAAATTTCAGTTTTCATTAGCATGATATTTGGAATTTTTAAACCAAGAATTTATGTCCTTTCCAGGGAAATGATTTGATTCACCAGGATGAGAAGTTCCTCTTAGAAATAACCCAAATTTCTCTGTATTTCATCATCCTTATTTTCACAGGCATGATTGTAACACCTTAAATTCCAGGAAAATCTTCACTGCAGAGTCCAGCATCTCCAAAGAATGCTTTATCTGTCTCTTTAATAATTCTTAAACTGTGTGCTAAGAAGAGCCATATTTTTCTTAGGCTGCAGTTTTTTCAACTATCTCTGTTGGCAAGTTGTACGTAAGTAAGGTCTTAACTAAGGAAACTCTCCAGGCAAACATTCTTGTTCTCCAGTCATGTTGTTTTCTCTTTGCTGTTATGGATTTTGTCATCACTTAATCAAGTGCTTCTCTCCTGAATCTCATATTGCTATTAGAGTATCAGATCCCATTAGGCATCCTTACATATTATCACAATGATCAACACTGGTATTTTTTTTTCCTATTGTATGATCGAATTGCAGGATATATGTAAGACATATAGGTAACTTCTTTGCTTATTGTCGCCTACTTAATACCTCTTTCTTTTTTCTTTTAGGTTGTTTGATGTATGCACAGTGTCACGGACAGACAGAGAAACCAAACTAACATTAGTGTTTGAACATGTTGATCAAGACTTGACCACTTACTTGGATAAAGTCCCGGAGCCTGGAGTGCCCACTGAAACTATAAAGGTACCAAGAATCAGCTTTCTGCTTGATTAAATAGTCACACTATTATAGACCATTAAGCAATCACGTTTCTTACATAAGAAAATTGCCAGGGGGGCGCCTAGCTGGCTCAGTCAGTAGAGCATGTGACTCTTGATCTCAGGGTCGTGAGTTCAAGGCCCACGTTGGGTGTAGAGCTTACTTAAAATATTGACAGAATTAGAGCTTTTGGAACTCAGTATATAATTAAGTATATCAACTGAGATGTTCAAAGGATGAGGTATATTCCAGTTCGTTAATTTTAGGACTCAGTGAAAAAAACCTTTTTAGTTTTAATACATATTAAAACTACTGAAAAGTATCTATATGTACATTATCTGGCCCTAACTTTAGAAGGTATAGTGTCGTAAATATAGCTCAGTCTTTTTCTGATCATTCACAGACTCTGAGGGACATAATTTGAAACTTCAGGCATGAGCATATTGCATATTATAATTGTATACTGACTCCAGGATGTAAATTATACTATGTAAATCTGAAATATGGTTCTTAGGCCCTTCTTTCTCCATTTTTTTTCTCATTCATGGAACACTTATAGGAAGCCTCAGTACCCCCCTATCCTAAACCCTTGGGATTCAGGAATGACTTAAGACTCCTTAGAGATCAGCAAGCTAGATGTGCTGGATTGACCAGAAGTCCTTTTTTCCTTTAAATCTAATGGAAAAACCTATATAGGAAGTTTTTTTGGTCATACTTCTGTTCTGCTTAATGGAAATTCCCAGGACATCTCTTAGATCAGTGAGCGTCGCATGCAGGTCTTCATGAAGACCCTTTCTTTCATTTATGTGTTTTAGGTGACTTAACTAAACAGACTCCTTACCTAATCATTCATTGTTTTTTTAGATGGGGGGTAATAGCTGGAAATACTTTATCTTGTCTTTTTGTGATAGCTAGGTGGTGTTTTTAGATACTGACATGTTTAGAACTTGACATACTGAATGATTTATTCCTTTGGTTTTAGATTGATAAAGGGTTTATGTTCCCATCTGCCTTCCATAAAAGAATATGATGCTCAGTAGTGCACTCATTTTTTCCTCAGCAGTTTCAGGGACTTGAAGGCCCTTGAAATGTGGGTATTCCTGGGGCGCCTGGGTGGCTCAGTCAGTTAAGTGTCTGATTCTTGATTTCAGCTCAGGTTATGATGTCAGGGTCCTGAGATCAAGCCCCGAGAGGGCTCAGCACAGAGTCAGCTTGGGACGATCTCTCTCCCTCTGCCCCTCCCCCCCTGCTCACGCGCACATGCTCTCTAAATAAATGAATAAAATCTTTTTAAAAAAGTGAATGTAGGTATTCCTTCTTACCTGTTCTTGGCCCCCTTCTCCTCTATCCCTGAACCCCTCTTTCCTCTCACTTTCTATTCCAGTGTGGCTTCAGTTCTCTCCTCTATGAGTTTGTCTGAAACCCCTTGTTCATCCTGCAGGGCATAGCCCCTTTTCATGGACTCTGTTATCTGCCAAATTAGACTCTTTGTGTGATTCATGATTTCCTACCTATGTGGTCCTCCTCCTCAGTGTCATTTCTTTGCCCCACCCCCACCAGTAACTATCTGCTGAAATACGAGTCCCACCCCAGATAGCTTTTGATCAGCTTTTATAACTGGATGCAGTCTCCTCGGTCTTCCAGCGCTGGTTCTACACATCTCCCCGTCTTGGTCCTGTTTTCTACCTTTAATTGTGATTATTTATGTCCATATTCATTCATCTTTGTATCCTGACCGTCGCTGTGCAGTGATTTTTACACATAAGTACTCAGTAAATAAGACACATTAACAACCTTTCTTCAGATATGATTATTTAAAAATTATTTTTAAATGACTTCCAATAGCTTAAATATATACTGGCAGAAACATCATCAGCTTCTTCGGATGTAGTTAGTTCTAAGTTCAAAATTATTTTGAGAGGAGAGTCATTTTTTTAAGCAGCAAGACAAGGTAACTATATATTTATGCCATACGTTCCCACCTGCATAGATGACTTGAGCTGCACATTAAACTCTCCTGGCATTAGAGGCTGCTGCGTGGAATCATTTACAAAAGTATCTGTGTAGTTAAAGTGGTTGATAAGCCAGAGTGATGCACTGTGCTAAAGTTTGATCAGGCAGGTATAGAAATGAAGTGGGTTGGAGAGAATTCTTTCTTTCTTTCTTTCTTTCTTTCTTTCTTTCTTTCTTTCTTTCTTTCTTTCT